CTTTCCTGTATCATCTTCCCCAACACTTGCCTATTCTGCTATTTGTCTTTTTGTCCAGTAGATAGGAACTGGTCCTGAACTAAACAAAGCTTTAAAGGTGTCAGATTAAAAGGGCTGCTATTGCTAAGGCTTAACTTCTGTGTATAGTGGGAATACAGATTCTTCCTGTCTTGTTCTATGATTCCTGTATTTAAAAACAGACAGGCTTCAGAATTACTTCTTGTGAACTAGGGTAGGAGTAAACTCATGTAAGGCTTCTTAGTAGATTATAATGAAGCAAAAAAGGCACAAATGTTTCTCCCCTTAAGTATGAAATCTTTGAATCTGCTTTTGTCAATACCAGAAGAATCTGAAAGATACATGCTATACATCCAGTGAAGGCACTTTTGACAGGTGGTAGTAGATTTAAACAGATAGTAGATAGCAGATTTAAACAGATAGTAGACAGCAGATTTAAACAGATAACAGGGGCATAGGAACTGACAGTTTCTAAGAGGATGTTTTTCTTTTGTTTACAGAGATACAGAACAAAGCCATACTGCTGTGGCTTATGCAAGTTCTCATCCAAATTGCTTACTTCTTTCAAGAATCACTTGCATCGCTACCATGAGGATGAAATGGACCAAGAGATGGTGGTTTCTTGCCCAAAATGTTCATTTTCTTCTCGGCCCAAAGTAGTGGGGGAACACATCTGGATGTTTCATTCGTTTAATAAACGAATACAGAACTATACAGTCAGCATTTTGGATGGCATGAAACAGTTTAGGAGTGACATCATAAACTTCACGTGTCTAAAATGTCAATTCACAGACACCTTGTATTACAATATGAAGAAACATGTGCTGTTGAACCATTTTGAAAACTTACTAAGTGCATATTTCGGCGAGAAATGTGATGAAAGTACACCAAATTCAGTTGAGTTCTACTGTAAAAAATGTAATGCTTCTGCAAACAGCCCAGATTCTTTAATGTACCATGTCTTGACAGCTGAAACACACAGAGACCTGGAGAACAAACTTCGATCTCTGATTTCGGAACGTATTAAGAAACCTGGGCTTGTAAAACAAATGCATATTGCTCCAAAGCCTGTCCCAGGTGTAGCAGCAGCTGCCCCAGCTGCAGGGCCTGTTGTTGTCCCAGCAGGTTCTGTGACAGCTCCAGCTTGCATCCAGGTTGCATTTCCACAGAATAGTCAAAACCAGAGCATGGTGCACACACAAGCAGTTCAGAACACAGTTGGACCAGTGACTGTCCCAAGTGCCTCTGGCAGCCTCCCAAATACCGCCTGTGCTCCTGCCGCTACATCCTCGCAGGTCGCTCTTGTGCCCAGCAATCCTCCTGTGGCTCAGAACAACCTTAGTATTCAGCCGTCACCTTCGCAGGCTGTCATTGTTTCTCATGGGCTCCGTCTTAATCATTCTGTTGGGACCATAAATAGAGCTGTGGCCCCTGCGGTTCTTCCTCTTAATCAGCCTGTCAGGCCTGGGGTTTTTCCCATTAATCAAACCATTGGGACTATAAAGAGTCTGGTTCCAGCTGGAACGCTCCCTGCTACTCAACCTGTCGGCCCTGTGAATCAACCAATTGCACCAGGAGTCCTCCCTGTGAATCAACCAGTTGCTCCAGGCATTCTGTCTGTCAGCCAGTCACTTGGGAACATGAACAGACCCATTGATCCCAGGGTCCTTCCTGTGACGCAGACAGTTGGGTCGGGTCTTCTCCAGCTTAACCAGCCTCTTGCCCCTGGGGTGGTTCCTGTCAGACAGCCTGTTGGACCTGGGTTCCTTCAGCTTAATCAACCTGTTGCCCCAGCAGTTATCCCAGTCAATCAGCCAGTTCAGCCTCCGGTTTCTCAAGGCACAGCTTTTTTGACTGCGGGCTCTATACTGAGGCAGTTGATTCCCACTGGCAAGCAGGTTAATGGGATACCTACTTTCACGCTGGCCCCTGTCTCTGTTACTTTGCCTGTACCTCCTGGTGGTGGAGTAGCAACTGTGAGGCCTCCGCAGGTGCCCATCCAGCTCGTGCAGACAGGATCAGTGGCTCAGCTGTCCCAGTCGCCAGCCAATGCTCCCTCTCCTCCTGTGGTTCTGACCTCTGACAATGTATCCTTGCAGGCCTCCCCTCCTGCTCCTGAAACAAGCCAGGCTGTCAGACAGGCCAAGCAGTGGAAGACCTGCCCTGTTTGTAATGAGCTTTTCCCCTCAAATGTCTATGAGGTGCACATGGAGGTGGCCCACAAACCAGTTGAAGTAAAAGTGGAAACCCCAGAACCTCATAAACTTGCAGCTTGCGCATCCTTTCTAAGGATGACAGAAAAGGCGATCCGGTGTTATGCTTGTAAATGTTTTCTCTGTGAGGAAGAGCTCATGAAGCATATCTTCATGCATGGCTTATCTTGCTTGTTTTGCACAGGTACTTTCTATGACTTAAAAAGCCTCGTGGAGCACAACAAAACTGCACACAATGGGAGAAAGGAGTTGCATGCAAGTTACAGCAACAGAGGAATTCAACTAGGTAACGATGCTCAGGGTGGCCTTGTGTTCCCACACTTCGATTTCAACACAGTGCTACCAGATGAAGACATGGGTGAAAGAGAAGTACATTTGGCAGTGCTTGTTGGAATATATTCAACAGTTCTTGTCCCTGTTTACATCAAAGTGAAACCTCAGACAGCACAAGTGAACAGGAGATGCACCAGAAAAATGTTCACCTGTCCCTTTTGCTTAGGCACATTTGCTGGTAGAGAAACCTATGAAAAGCATTTGAAAGAGAGGCATCATATAATGCCGACTGTGCATACGATTTTAAAGTCTCCTGCTTTCAAGTGCATCCACTGTTGTGGTGTGTACACTGGAAATATGACTCTGACAGCTATTGCTGTACATTTGCTCCGTTGTAGAAGTGCTCCCAAAGACACCAACTCGAGCCTGAAGATGCAGCTTGAGCGCACTGAGAGGAAAGAGCTGCTGTTTGTGAATGGTGAGAAGCATCTTTCTGTGGTACTGAAAAGAAAGCAATCAGATTCCTGCTTTGTTGCAGAAGACCAAAGGAATAAGGAACAGCAGCCTCTGAGCTTAAGTACTGGCATAGCTCTGTCTGCAGAGAACGAAGTAAATTCAGGGGTAGTGCCTTTTAAACGACAAAAGGTTAGGACTGAGATGAGGAAACTTCCTTCTAGTGAGGATCTCCGCTTTCTAGCAGTAGATCCTAATCAGTATGATCACAATTCATATGAGGCACAGAAACAGTTTTTGTCAGACTACTTTCACAAGAGGCCATATCCTTCTAAAAAAGAGGTGGAATTACTTTCCTTGCTGCTATATGCGTGGAAAATTGATGTTGCATCATTCTTTGGAAAAATGAGGAATACATGCTTAAAGGCAATAAAACATCACAAACCATCTGTGCTGCTGGGTTTCAGTATGTCTGAACTAAAAAACATTAAGCACAGTTTGAATTTAAAAGATGGACTATTGGATATGTAACTCAGCTTTTTGTAACAGCTAGAAGCAATCCATAATGGCATACTTAAAATTTAGCAGTTTATTATATTGTTTGTTTTAACTTGCAGACTGGCCTGTTGAAGGGTGCAGTAATACAAGAAGTATCATTCACTTGTGACTGTTATTGTGAAAGGCACACATAGCTGTGTATTTTAAAAGCTAAAACCTTCAGACTTAAACATCTGGAATTTGTTTTAGCTTTTTAACTTCCCTGGGGGTAGTGTTGTGGGGTTTGTTTTTGTTTTTTTTTTTTTTTTTTTGTGTTTTGTTTTTTAACACTTCCATTTCTTTTTCTTCCCCTCCAGACTCCTATTACATTTTTTATACCACCGTGTAAAACCCTCGTCCTTGTTAAAACCAAATTTTATTTTATTTCTCAGCAGTGTTGTCTTTTCTAAGTAATTAAATGTGTGATGTGGGTTAAAATAACAAGGTAAACTATGTGAAAAAGGTGAATTCGATTATTTGTATTTTTAAGTCCTGATATTTTTGACCTGTTTCTGGTTTATCTACTGAAGCAGTGGCCATTACATCCATTGCCCCTTCAAATTCCCAGTGCTCTGATAGCTGTGAAATACATGGCATTGTGTTTTTTTCCTTGGTCAGAATACCTGTGCCAGTTTAAATCTGGTCGTCTGTGGTTCCTGCTGAGTATTAACGTGAGGGGCTTTTGGGTGCCCATTGAAGTGTTACAGTGAACTGACTTGAAATGGTTGTGTTATCTGTTAAATAGATCTTGCTAATCAGAAGTGTTTATCCTTTTCATTTGGTGTTGAAGCCTGGTTGTTTACCTATTGTTCAAAGCAGCATTTATTTTATTTTCTTTTTCAAAAAACAAAGCTGCTTTGGAGAGTGTCAAATGGCTTTGATACATGGAGTATATGACCTCTGTGCACGTCACTTATGTGTAGAACCCCTATCCAAATATTACCCAAATTTGGTGAAAAATCTGACATTTTAAATTGCTGTTTTATGAGGTAGTAACAGAGCAGAGCCTACTCCCCAGCAAATTAGATCCCTGGCTTGAAGTCCCTTGGGTCGGAAATGGTACAAACTGAACCTGGATGAATTCGTAGCATCAAGACTTTAAACTGTTCAGTACTCGAGCCCATGATATTCATGTAGTGATTAGTTCTTTTTGGCCTGGAGAGGACATTGTATAAAACCCAAACAGACTTACCTTCAGTATGGACTAACATCTCTTGCAGATTACAGAAGAGCTGTTGGGAAGGTTCTTGAGGTGAAGCACAAACTGGTGGCCACATTGAGGCCTTGTTGTGTGCGGTCCTTTCTGGATATGCTTGTTTTCATCTGGCCTGTCAAAGAGTGCATCCAATACCAGCAGCCAGTTACATAATAAATAACCTATAAGATGCATTTGTTTTATTTCCTCCTCTTCATCCCCCTCTCCCCACCCTCCTTTCTAAGAAGAAAAAATTAAAGTTCACTTGTGCCAGTGTTAGAAGGAAAGGGTGATATGCCCAATGTTATTTCTATTTTTAAGGTAGTAAGTAGACTTTTGCCCTGTGCCCTAGGAACTTTTAAAAGCAGATACAAAATGTTTTATTGATGTTTCTGAAAGGGTGTGACATTTTTAGCAGAATTTGGTGACTTCCTGCCTGAGGGTTTATAAGCTGTTTGGAGTTATATTTTGGATAAAATCCTAATATTTTCATATTTATTGCTTCAAAGAGTTTTAATGTATATGTAACAAAAGGTTACTGCTATTTGGAAAAACCTAGTAATTTAATAGCAGTGTTAAATGAACATAAAAAATATTTATGGGATCAGTTGCACATCGCACCCCAAAAAGTGATTAAGAAACTGTGTTTTTATAGCCTCATAATAGCTCATTAAAAATTAAAAAATAAAATATACTTGGCCATAGTACACAGTTCATGAAACCTGTTCAGAGGGCCGTGAGTGAGGAAGAGGGATGCTCTCTAGAAGTTCTTAAATGTCGGCAGTACTCGCTCTTACAGCCTCTGTCCTGTGAGGCCTGTCATCTTTGGGGCAGTTCTGCTTCTGGTGAGACTCCAGGACTGGGGTTTGGCAGTGTGCATCTGGGAAAGGCTTGCCATGAATGGGGAACAATTGTAGAGAGAGCAGCGTGGCTGTGGGGAGCTGGGAAGTCATTTCGTGGTCCATCCATGCTTGGGGCACCAAGGGAACAATCCAGTCTTGCCAGAGTTTTCCTACATAGTGTCCAGTGTTGATATTAAATGCTTTATTTATTGGATTTTAATTTCATAGTTTCAAATAAACCATATTTTTAACTTTCTCTTAGGTGTGTGTGCAAATGATTGCCTATCCATCCTCTTCCCTCTTTTAATTCATTCAGAGAATTTTAGGTGAACATTTTTTTGGTTCAAAATGGCTGTTGAAAGAGACAAGAGGAAAGATGTAGAACTTGGATCTAGATGCTTCAGGTAGATCTTAGTGCATTATAGTAATTATGTATTATCTCAAATACTGGTAGCTGCATTTTTCTCTGGAGACTGATATTCCTAAATCTTGGTACTAATTTGCTATCACTAAATGCTTGTGCTCTTGTTAAGTGGGTACTGTAGAAATAAAAACCAGATGAATTTTGAAATCTGAAAGTGGTGACTGAGAACGCTGTATGGTTGTGGTTTTCAAGAAAACCGAGGAGCTTGAAAACAGCCAAGTTAAAAATCAATGGCTTTTACTAAATTGGGCTTTTTGCTGTGGGCTTCTCACAGGTGAAGTCATTTGGATAGAAAGTCAGGAAACACACTGCTGCCTTGGGCTTGGTCTCCAAATGGGTAGTTGCCTCTCTGGCACTTCTCTAAGGACAGACCCTCACACTGCTGCAATATGGGAATGGGAAAACAGTGGAGCTGCCCTCTGCAGCAGGCTTTATGATTACAAGTCATTGAAGCATGTGAAGGGAGCTCTAGTCCACTGTGAAAGAATCACAGTTGGGAAGAATGCTGGTTGGTTTGCAGGATGATGCAAATACTTGTTTCCTATGGGACTGAAAAAGTCCCAAATCTACATGTATTCTGCTTTTGAAATGCACTGGTCTGGAGAGGTGTCCGTGTTTGAGCAGTAATACTTTGTTGTGGTGCCTTGAGGTTTTTGCTTGTGAAATAGTGTGATAACTTGTTACTTGAATGTGTGTAATAGGAATGATTGTTATTTTATTGGTCATGTTTCTTCTGCATATGCTCAGGTGCTGGGAGTTAAGTGAATATTGTTTGGTAAACTGATATTTTGGAAGGGACCAATAACTAAAACACCTTTGTGGTGGGTTTTCAGTACTGTGTTCCTGTGTGGAATGCTGCCTTCCTTCATGATCACATCAAACCTTTTTTCCCTTCAGTGTTTAAAATTCAGAAAACCTCCGATGCTTATTCGGGTAGCTGATGAATATAATTTTTGGGTTTGCAATTCTCAACAAAATTATCTATAAAGGTATAATTTTACTGCAGCTGGCTGAGCCATTTTCAAACATATTTCTCAAACTTGAAAACTTGATTGTGGACACCTTTTTGTGGGAAGATGTTAAGTAGGAAACTACAGATATATGAAAAAAAAGTTGCATTCTAATAACAAGGGGCATGCTCCCTGCAAAAGACCAAAAAAAACACCCCAAAACCAAATAAAAACCAAACAACCAACCCCCCCAACCCAAAAAACCCACCCCCAACCCCAAAACTTTAAGAAAATGAAAACATTCATTGATTTTTTTAAAAGTCTGGAGACCTTTAACTCCTCTGCAATGTGAAAGGACAAATTGAATATTTATGAATGAAGGAAGACTTTGTGGTGCTGCATTTAAAGTCTTAACACCTCACTTTTAGTGCCTGCTGTCTCATTCCGTGTCTCATTCCGATATTGAGATCTGACAAGCAGCCTGAAGCTGTGACCATTTCTCTTCTTATTTGGGTACCCGATCCCAAAACATGTGTGACATTGTTCTTTTTGCTCTGCACTTGCCCATTTTAAGGCACCGAGTGCAAGGGGGTGTCTGTGGTGTGCTTACGGTGCTGCCCGGTGTGCTTGAGGAGCGTGTTGTTCCGCAGATGACCAGGAGGAAGTGGGCTGTGTGCCCACCCTTGTAAGTCCACTTCAGCTGCTGTTCATCAAGGTTTTACCTGGCACTATGTTTCAGAGCTTCACCTGGCACTATGTTTCAGAGCAGCTTGTAATAGGATGAGGGGGGGTAGAAGTTTCAAGAATCTTTGCAGGTATCATTCTTATTTTATTTTGTCTGCTTGTCCTTGAAGTGGCAGTGAGAGCAGTTCCTGTCATCCTTGAAGGCTGAGACTGGCAGGTGGGGTGTGGTTTGAGCTGCACCAAGTAAGCCAAGGATGGGACAGCTGACAGTGTGTGTGTCATTGAAAACCATCAGGCTTCAGCATTTCTGGAGAAATAGCTGATTAATTGTATTATCAGAGTCAGTGTCAATTTGGCTTATAGTCTGAACAATTCTCTCAGCCTTTCCTTGTAGAAGAGGTGCTGCATCCCTCTGATCATTTTGTTGACCCTCTGCATTCTGGAGTATGAGTTCATTTTAAGGTAGCTGTCTGGACTGATCTTATTAATTTTATTAATGCTGTGAAAGGTGCAAATCTATTAACCCATCTTGTTAATGGAGGAAAAGCTGCTAGGCAGCATTGGTGCAGAGAAGAACCAGTATTGTGCTTGAAGAACTTGGGTGTTCATGCAACAGCATCATGATCTATAAACACGCATGGATAAAGGTCAGCCAGCATAGATCCACCCAACCCACTGCAGCTCAAGGCCAGGGGCAGCCTTAGCACAAATGCAGGGTGATGTGTGACCATGTTCAGTGTGGGATCCTGCAGAGCCAGCGCTGGGTTTGGGACTCTGGCATTGAGAAGGATCGAGTGTGATTGGGGCAGGAAGCCGTTTTTGGGTTGAACTTCAGCTGAGGGGGAAGTGTGTGAGGTGGCTGTTCCAGGTACAAAGGGGCTGCCACCCACCAGTGCAGCCCAGGGCTGGGCAGTCTCTGTAGGACCCTGCCAGGTTCTGCAAAAATGTGTGTCCTGGGAGCAGACCGAAAGGCCAACTAACAAGGGTGGGACTCCTGCTGGGCCAGAGCGTGGAATGGCATTTGGAAGCTGAGAGGCAGCTCCCTGTTAAACACTGCACCAAGGAAGGCTGCTGTAGGTGAATTCCAAAACACCTCTCTGTGAGCACAGTGGCCATCCCTCCCAATCTGCTGTTTCTTTGTAAAGCCTGGGTTTTGCTGAACATGGCTTTG